CATTCTGGACCCCTTGTTACTCACAAACTCCATCTTATGCATTCTCTGTTCTACTTGGACTTGGCTCTCTCCCCCAGAGAATATCATCATCTCTGGCTTTAACAACTTTGCTTCTGGTGACATTTGACAACCAGGAATAAGTTCCTTTTACCACCTGTCCAATTTCACTCCTTCAATTGCACAAGAAGTCCTAGTAGAATGAGTCCATGGGAGCCAGTGAAGTCACCCTGTGGACCACTTGCCACCCTCGACAAAAAGAGCCATTCATGAGTCACTACCTCATATGGATAGCTCCTGTCAAACCCTCTTGCCCTATTTAGATCGTAAATCCCACGATGGTAAGGAACCTAGATTTCCCTTCTTTGTAGCCCTAAAAGATGTGTGGATAGAAATAACAGAACATATTGTCAAAGACCCATAGAACTCTAGGTTGGTTTAAAATAAAAGAGAAATTTAAAGATGGGTAGTGAGGTGTCAAAGAAATCTGTTTCTGAGATCATAGAAATTTTGATTTGCCAGGACTAATTTCAGCCCCTACAGTCTACTTGGACCCACCTTCTAATATCTACTTCCCCCAAACTTCCTAGGCCCTACTCTAAACTATAGCCACTACTATCAGTAGACACAGCCCCATTTTCTGAGGTAGATATTTGCATGAGAGGACCTTGACTTAATATACCAATTATGGGAAATAGAATATAATAATGGTTAAAACACATGCAACCTTACTCTGAATGGTACGCTTATTTTAGGCATTTTACTTATATCAACTCAGTTATCCTTATGATCATATAACAGCCACTAGAAGTATACCACCCTCCCTACTTTATAATGTGTTAGATGGTTGGTTGCAAATTACTGCTACTACTCCTCCTATTGAGAAGTGATTTATGTCTCCTCCTCTGAAACTGAGAAAGCTCTGTGACTGTTTAGACTAATAGCATATTGTACAAGTGACACTGCCAGTTTCCTGGCCTTTAAAAACTGGCACCCTCTACTTCCTGCCCCTGGAAGGACTCTCTCTGGAAGCCCCGAGCCTCCATAAATAGAGCCCATCTACTCTGTTGGAGAAACCACAAGGAGAATCCCAGCTAATACATGGAGAGGGAAAAGGGTCCTGCTGAGTCCCATCTTTTCAGTTAACCCACCAAAACACAAGGTATGTGAATAAAGCCAGATCCTCAGGCACAGTCAGCTGCGGAGTGAACATAGTCAACTCTAGATGGGGGAAAAGACCATTAGTGAAACAGAAATGTGGGAGAACTGTGCCCACATTTCTGTCTCACAGAATTTTGAGATCTAATGACATAATTGTTTTAAACCACCAAGTTATGGTGGTTTGTTTCATAGAAATAGTTAACTAGAACTTACATGACTTGTCTGGGGTCATGTAAGCTAATATGACGATGAACAAAGTTTTACACCCAGCTACTCTAGCTGTACTTACATGCATTGAATCACTATGCTGTAGCCTTATCACTGAAAATAAATTTGGCCAAAGCACCCTGATCACAGTGGATGAAAACCTTTCCCCAAGCTATGCTATCTTCAGCTGTTAAATGACTTTAAAGTAGGCAATAAAGCCTGTCTTGTTTTCAGATGTATTCAGTAAATATTTATTGAGTACTGATGAAGTACCAGGCCTTTACTTGAGAATTGTCACTCACACACCTGCCTTCTCAATGCACATCTTAAAATTTTAAAAATTCAGTAGAGTATCCAGAGACATCCTCCTTAATATAGGATCAAGACCTGATGCTTGGACATGATTGCTATGAGTAAATCAACATCATCCAGGTCATTCACAGATAGTTGTACACTCTTACCTGTAACAAAATGGAATCAGAAAGATCAAAGCAGCAATGACTTCTAAGAGGCTATAGCACTAGAGAGACATACCGACTCAAAAACGACTTGTCCACATTCACCCACAGTTAAGAGCAGCACTGAAAGCACTTCACAATTTTTCTTTGATCTGAAATCAACACTAACGAAGGTCCACCAGGAAAGAACTCCTGAAAGGATGTTTTCTTCACTTATGCTTTAAGAAAGAACTGGGGGATTTTCAGACAGGCAGGTTTTTATAGTGGTGGACTCACATGCTTATTTTCTTTCTCCTAGAGGGTCTCATTGTAGGAAAAGTTTGCTTTAACAATGGTATTTAAACAAAAGAGGACAGAACAGTGGTATCATTTGGAAAATGTTCTAGGTATAATTTCACATATAGATTTAAAAAACTGAATAATGGGCCTGGTGAATATGAAATCCAGTCTTCCCTACCATTTTTCCCCCACTCACTTCTGAAGTATCTTTTAGAGATCAGACCTTTATGAACTTCATCTAAGAGAAATAAAATTGTGGGGTCACACAGGTATAATGCTTCCAGGACAGACCTTCCTTACCTGCAGTCTCTAGAGCCTGGTTATTTTCTGAAATCTTGAATACAATCCAATAGTTGTTGGGTCCCCAGTCCTGACACAGGTTTGATGTGATCAACAGAATGTGTTTAAGACCAGACTAGGCTTGAAGATGAGGCTTTTAAGTTTTTTATGGGACACAGGGCAGAGTTCTGATGACTACTTGACAAGAACAAAATAAATTCCCACACCCTTGGCACAAAGTTATTTTCTCTAATTAGTCTTTGCAGAAAATCCAAGGCTTTTTTAATCCCTCACCCAGTCTAATCAAGTCTAGTAGGCTATTGGTTTTCCTCCAAGAGGATGTTCTTACACATCCTTAAAACCAAAGAGTCTCAACAGGTTTATAACTTTTTTTTTTTTTGAAATAGAGTCTTGCTCTGTCACCCAGGCTGGAGTGCAGTGGCACAATCTCGGCTCACTGCAACCTCTGCCTCCGAGGTTCAAGCGATTCTCCTACCTCAGCCTCCCAAATAGCTGGGACTACAGGCATGTGCCGCCATGTCTGCTAATTTTTTGTATTGTTAGTAGAGATGGGTTTTCACCATGTTAGCCAGGATGGTCTCAATCTCCTGACCTTGTGATTGGCCTGCCTCGGCCTCCCAATATAACTTATTTTTATAGATTTGGTAGAAGAAACAGCATATAGATGGAGTTCAACTATTACTGGTTTTAAAGAAACCCACTCCAGAGAGAGGCTATTGGAGAAGGCATTCCCAGATGTTCACCTCCTCCAAGATGGCCGCAAATTCTATAATGTTTAGAGTTACAATCACCAGCAAGATTTTGTACCTTGTACCCAATATGGCCGCAAATTCTATAATGTTTAGAGTTACAATCACCAGCAAGATTTTGTACCTTGTACCCTACTTTTCTCCCAGAGCTCCGACTTTCTTGGTTTGTGAAAAGAGTTTAGGAACTGCCTCAATTAGTTTCCATTTATGTATGTGCAACAGGAGGGAAAACCAAAAACGGATAATTACTACAGCTTGGTTTCTGAATCCCTGAGTAACATTAAATCATCTCGAGGTCAGTGAAAATTTGGCCTTACAAAGAACTACAGGACCAGCTATTCCTCTGTCAAAAAAAGCCATTTGCTTCTCTGCTTCCCACGGAGTTAGCAGAATACGTTCTGACAGAAACAAAACAAGTCTGCCAAGACCTGTGCAGACAGAACTATCCTTTCACCAACAATAAACAGATCTACTCCTGAGCTAGAGAGAGTCATAATAGAAATACATATTGCCTTTTATCTTCTTTTCAGTGAGTAGAGCAGGGTGTCAGGAGTTATTGCTTTAATATCAGTAGAGAAGAGCTATTTTTTTTTCCTGTGAGCACGTGCATAGGTACGCATGCAATACCATGTGTGACTCTAAGAGTGCTATGCAAACCAGATTTTTAGAAGCCTTTGAAACCCATAAAATTGGCCTGATGACATTGTCAGCATATACAACTTCAAATTGTTACTATGGAGCCATGTGAAAAGCTGTCTGGATATTTCTGCTCAACGTAAAAAAAAAAAAAAAAAAAAAAAAAGGAAGGCAACGGAAAATACACTTACCATTACCTAACTCACATACATTTAATTCTGAAGAATGGGAATACATAGGGGGTTTAATTGATGATTGACTTTAAGTTTATAGTGTCCACTGGAGTCAATGTAAGGGTGATGTCAAGAACTCAATCAAGTTCCTGGATAATGTCTTAAAACTAAGAAGCAAACGAGACAAGTGACTGAATTTTCCATAAACACTAACTAGGCTGGGGCAATTTTCTTACAAGCGATTGGAATGTCTTACGGTATGCCAGAGCATTAAAGGCTAATCACTCAGTAAACCTCCTATTCCCTACTAACTAGATTTACAAAATGCCAAGGGAGTAGCAAAGTGTTAAGCTTAGTTTGGATATAATTACTTTCAAGTGGAAAAAAACTGCCACAAAACCAAGGACTTCCTGTTTAGCTGAACTCCAACCTTCACATTTTCTATTGTCATCAGTATCTTGATCAAATATAAAGACAACAAAATGGGCAAAAATCTGACACATGATTAATCAGGACTTGATAACAAACACAAAGACTGCATTTTACAAGGATTAGTTGAACTTCTAATTTTAACTGCCCTTGAGTTAATGGTACCCATCGACCTCAATAATGAACGATTCATGTTATAGCAAAGCCATCTGGAGAACGTGAATGAAATTGAACTAGGATATAGCCTTTCATGATAACAAATTTTCCTTCCCCACCTTTCCCTTTCTGCAATTTGAAAAGAAAAGGTAATAAAATTAAAGGAGAGAGTATTTCATACCGAAAGTATATTCCATTGCTCATTTTGAATAACAGCTTTACCATTTCAGTGATAAATACGATAGGGATAACAGCCCATGAGTGCCACAGGCTTTTATGCCTTCTCTGGCAATGACCTCACCTTCCTCTTCTCCTGGCTCTTACTACTATGAGTATCTGCAGGCATCCTTCTTACATAGTAATTCAAAGTCTTTAACTCCATGAAACAACGACCATGATAACAATGTTTCAAAGTTAAAAATGCAGAATCAATTAATACTTGGAAAAAGGCCTACCTGAATGCTGGCTGTGGAGCGATTCTTACGGGTTGTGGTAGTAGCCATTGTGGTAGTGGTTTCCATGACAGTAGTAGACATTTCTGGTGGCATGGAGGTCGTCTGTGTTGTTCCCAAAATCGATGGGACTTCTCCAACCAGCCGAACACTTCCATTAATTTTAATATTGGGGTTGTTCTCAGCCGCCATGTTCAGTACTTTCAAACCATCATAATAGAGCCCAGAGAGTTGGCCTTGGAAGAGGCGTCCTTTGTCCTTTCCACCAATGGCTATTTGCGCCTGAGTGTTGAAGATGGTTAACTGCCGGCCTAGTGGATTGGGTGGAGGAAACATCATTATTCTCATACATTTTCCCTGTTTGCCTTACCTGGTCTGAATGGACCGGGTATCATAACAGGCTTCCTTGAGCAATTTAAGGGGCGGAAAAGATGGACAACAAAATCTCAGTACTGACATCAGCAAGTAACATTTCATTGCGGTTATCTCTTCCACTGCCTAGCTGAAAATCTTTGATAACCTGAACAATCAAGTCTTTATTTCTTTATAGTGATGAAGAAGAAATCTTGCTTCAGTGATAAGAGGTATTACAGTCTTCTTGGGTATATAATTGTGGATGACAGAAAGAAACACTCAAATCAGGTGATGACCAGAGTAAATTATAGATACCTACTGCATTAGTTTTTAAAGTTATAAAGTAAAATAATGAGAATGAAAAGAATTATATATGGCGAAAAAAAAAAACCCTCAGTGAGGTGACTCAGAAAACGGAATTTAAAAATTAAGTCTAATAATTAAATTAGCTGAAATTAAATTCCAGTTAAGAGACTTAGATTCATTGCATACTTGTAAAAATTAACATTCTAGTCACCAAACATATTATTTCTTTCCAGTCTTCAGAGTGCATAATATTCTATAGTCTGTTTAAAAAAAATCATGAGAGAGAAATTTCTCTCTGTATTAATTTGTTTTTGGGAGGATGGATTATGGTCACAAAACTAAATTATTCCCTCAATCTGAAATGCAAACATGGTGGTAATGCTCCGGTTCTGAGGAAGTTGTCCTTCAGATTTAACAAATTTTTAATAGTGGATGGGTATTAATGAAGAAATTAACACATAAACCTCCTTAAAATGATATAGAGGTATGTTCATGGGTTGAAGGATATCAGTAGTTTATTTTGAGTTCCCACTTTGACACCATTTATACTTCTCTGAAAAGTATCAGAATGAAACCATACTAGCATAGAGTTTCGACGAATGAAACCCAAATCACTCCCAACTATTTCAATTCATAAAAATCTCCCTCAAGTGCAAGATTTTTCCCAAGAAAATGCAAAGAGCTCTTTAAAACTTATTGCAGTTTATCAGGACAGCAACATGCTAAGGCCTTCATTACTGTTATTTCTCCAGATTACTTCATTTTGCCTTTTTATATGAAGAAAGGAAAAAAAAAGGCTTATTCAGGGAATTAAATATCTGCCCTCCTAATTTTTTCCAATTAGTGATCAAACAATGCTCCACTCAATCTAATCAGCTGAAGTACTTTAGCGAGAAATAACTAGAAACAATTTTGTTATTTTTGCCTACTTAATAAAAAGGACAGTGTTTTTAAGAACTGAGGTATTTGCTTTATAATTTCTAATATGAATAGAGAGATCCTGTGATGTTTGGGCTTTAAAAACCTACCACTATTACATGGTCTTCAAGGCTACACTATTTTGACCTATCCTTGAATTCCTGGTGTATAATGTGAAATACCTTCTCAGTGTATGACAGTGAAAGAAATGCAAGTGGCAGAGAAGAGAATGCTCATCTGCTCAGAGGGTACTCCTCACACAAGAGTCAATTCTGCTCATTGAACAACGCATGGTGCCTATTAGTCAAGAATGACATATAAATAATATCCCTTTGGAAGCTTTGAGCACTGCAGTATGGTGAATTGGCCAGAGAATTTTGTTATGGTGAAAATGATCTATACTTTATAAAAATATCCAGAACCTGAAAATGGGATCTGCTGGCCTTAATGATTACAGAATTACCCAGATCACAAGGGTGCAATCAAAAAGATTTTCATCATTTTCTCAGCAATTCATTCAGTGTGCTGTACATATGCACAATTGTATTTTGCACTCTGTACTTTTCACACAAGATGCAGCAGAAAGTTCCGTGCACAATAACACTAAGTAATGTGCTGGAGTTCATACCTCTTTACTGTTTATTTTTGATAACGGGGTTTTTTCCCCCCCTGGAAGCCCTGAGCTTACTACAAAAGAAATAAAATGATGGAAGGAGAAAATAAATTCTCCATCAACCCCATAGAGGCACTGGAAGCAGCTTAACATAATAAATGAGAAGCAGCTGCCGAATAGGAGATTTCTAGGATAAAAAGTCAGTATCTTACATTAACAGCCTTTATGCCAAGAGATACCTTCCATGCACGCAACTTCTGGCCAATCATAATATTTATTCACCTATTTTGTATATAGTTCAGCACTGGTGATAAGTTAACAGTTATACTTGATTACAGGTAGAAAATCTTACATCCTAATGTTTTTGAAAATACTTCACAGTGATAACCTCTATAATAGTTCTCATCTTATTTCTCCAGTGGTGTTATTATGCCAATGCTTACAAATAAAAAGAGGGTCAGAGTAAACTGAAAGGCAAAGCTAATTACACTGGCTAGAGATGATGACTCACCTCATTCCAGTCGCCATTGTTCACTCTACAAAGTGCTCTTTGCCTGTTCAAGACTGACCCAAGCATCAGGAAAAGCAAGGCAGGTTTCCTGGGTTACCAAGATTAAACTGCCCCTCTGCTCCTGACTACAGCTACTTTCCCAGAGAGATCTGACTAAACACTTCTTGAGAAGACGACACTGGTGGAGTGAGACAGTAAAGAGGGTTGTCTTATGTTTCAATTTTTCATCTTGTCATAGGAAGTATTTGTTTTTCTCTTTGCTTGTTTCATGGTCTGTTTCTGGCTAGATCTGCTTTTCTGCTGTGGTGAAATCCTCTTCTAGCCCCCTGTACCTTGGATCAGAGGGTTAATGCCAAAGCTAGCAACCAGGAAAGGAGCAGTAGAGCACTCTGAGTCTCCTGCCATCCCTTCCTCCAATGAATTTCTGTCTCTGATAAACAGGGGTTAGTGTGTAACAGAAATAACCATCACTGTCCATTCCCTATGAATAATGTGAAGCACTGAACAGAGTTTCTTTTTATCATTTGCTCATGATTTCCCAAAATCAATGCCAGATCTCACTATTCTCATGGTTTTCATTCATGGCTTACGATCGATGAGATTTTTATAAGAACTGACCATTATATATACATACACATATGTATATTTATGTCTGTATAGCCTACTCTGAAAACTATTTTCTCTTAAGTAACACAAAGTTTGGTTGCAACACCAGTATAGGAATTGCAGCAGGTTACTTTCTGTTTTAGATGCCCGTCATCTTGGAAGTCATTAATTATTACCTCATGTGGACATCAAGTTCACATACTGCTTAAATTAAATCTTTGCATGTCTCCAGTCAGTGTTGCACAAAGACTAATTAATTAAACCTCAGAACACCCTTGGGGAATAGGCGGTATTATTTTTCCTGTCCTCAGATGGGAAATCTGAGATACAGAGAGGTTAAGTGGATTGTCTAAGGTCAGAAAGTTAATCAATAGTAGACAGAGCCAGAAAAGAGATTTGGGAATGCTATGGCCCAGCTCTCCCCGCCAATGACAGAAATAACTCCAAAGAGGCATTCCAAGTACTTCCAAATGCAGCTCACTTTACCCTTTATATTCATTGTCTTTACAAGTCTTTGGCATATATTTTGTATTTCTTTTGAAGGGAAGGTTAGCTAGGCAGAGGAAGAGGTAAGACAATAGAATGAATAGATGTTACTCACCGAAATTACAACAGAAATTTTTTTCAGTGAAAATACTGTAGAAGAGAAACTCACCATTTGGAAATAATTCTTTTCAATATTATATACATATATAATCATACATATATTTAATTAAGAAACTAGGATATCTTCTTCCGTCCCACCTCAACCACCCCTCCCCACATCCCAGCCCCTCATCTTGTGTATTTGAAAGCATCCTTTTATGTGAAAGCCAACGGATAACGATTCTATTATAAGAAAAACTAAAAGCCTACTAATAACTTTATAATGATTTATACAAATGAAAATGCCTGGCATGCTATTAAACTTAGACTTAAAAGGCAATGGAGTAAAATAAAATATTATTAACATAAAATTGAAAGAAACAAAAAAATTTCTCAGGCACATGAGACTCAGACATGCATCTAGTTTGCTTTTTCCTGTTTAAAAGTGAGGCAGTCATTGTCTTTAATGTTAAAGGGACTTTATGAGCTGATGATTACTAAACAAAATTATTTGCTTTTTAGAGTTATTCTTAGTTTTAATTAGACCACATTCATTAAAAACAGGGCAAACAGTTAAGACTCCGTGAAAATTTTCCATGTTTAAAGGTCTGAATGTTTTCCTCCAACTTAAAAGTGTAGTTGTCCTTTGTTCTTTAAGTTGTGTACTAAGTAATATACCTGGTTACTTCTTATCTATAACTCAATGAGATCTCTACAATGTTAACAACTCCTTTGACGTGTTGAGACAAGAGTAGCTTACACTGTCTCAATAACAACACAGAGAGTAAGTATCTGCTTAGATTTTTTCTCATTGAAATGCAGTGGTGTCTTAACAGCTTGAAGCTACATAGGAAAATTCTAACATCAGTTATAACCGCTGCCCTCTTTTATTAACAGTGGTTCTTGTCTCCAGGAAATCAGAAACTGCCGTTTTGCCTTTCATGAACCTTTTCTTTTCCAACTCATTATGTTAACTACTTACACTTTTGTTGCATAAAACATCAAATACACAAGGGTATCCACACAACCCAAGTGTAAAATAAGTTTGCTTTTAGTTTCAGTCAGCAACTAGGACACAGTTCATCTCTTATAAAATAATTTCGCCTCCGTGGGTTTTAAAGGCAAAATTCGTCTTTTTCATTCTTTAAGAACAAATGTTAAAAAAAAATTGCTCCCCTTATAATATTTGTTTTAAGCAGTTTAAGTTACAAGAGTCAATCTACGGTTTGGTTTGGTTTTGTTAACCATGCTCCAAGCCAAAACAGCCTGAAGAGGTAAGTTTAAAAAGTACTTTTGAAATTTCTTTAGAAAGCTTTGGTGTAAGAGGTCATTTAAAACAAATTAATAAATAATGTCACGCAGTGGTTAAATTGCCATAACACCTTTCTGTTTTAGAGGCTCCTGGAATTTGTTTGTGTTTGTCATGCTGATAGCAGGCTAGAAGTTAGTCCCTTTAACTGTATTTTAATGGCAATGTATTATAGCATGATTTATCAACATATGGCAGGTGGAAGCTGACACAAATTATAATGAAAATTAAAACAGTCATTTATGCAGCAGGCGATTATCATTTAAGGAACATTTATTTGCAGGCTTTAAAAATGAGGGTTTAGGATCAAATGATTTTAAAATGAAAGTTTTAATGACGGTTACCTTTTTCCTGCAGCCACTCCTCTACGGGCCGGTTATATTTGAAGGGGATTTTCTGTTTTACCATTTGGAACCGTTCATTATCAGTGTTGCCTTTAAAGTTTAAAAAACAGCTTAAAGAACAATCTGAAAAGTCAATAAGTCATTAAAAACATCCTAGGTTTTTTGGTTTATGAAGGTTTTAGAGATAGATATCAATTTATCTTTAGTAGAGGTGGAGTTGAAGTCACTCTGCCCTTGATTGATAGTTTTAAAGGTCAGGTTAGTCTTAGCCATGCAGGACTCCATCATGTTTTGGAAAGGTGGCATGGGATGGGAATCCTTAAGAGGTCTGGTCCTTTATGGAAACATGTTTACCTTCATTCTCTCTCTCCATCTCATGCCGACCACACCTTAATTAGGCCAGTTGAGGAACAAGGACCTTCTTGACCCATGAGTAATCCACCTGCCAGATCAGTTTCAGGTCTGAGAGGGGAACCCAGCTCCACAGTCACGCACACTCCACTATTAACCTACTGTATTCCCATGAGAAACATAGGGCCATGTCCTTCCTTTCTTCTCTCAAGTGTTTGCAACAGCTTTATGTTCTGACAGAGGGAAGGCAGAGATGACAATTTAACCTTGATGGCCAAGGGAGACTTCTTATTCCATAAAGAATGTCTTGGCATCTCATTACCTATTTGGAACAGGTAGATCAGTACAGATGGCCTTTTATATCACTATCTTTCCAGATTTGTTCTACATTTTAAAAAATAATTAATGAAACTCAAAGTCAATGTTTGGAAATAGAGGTAATTATAAATATAGTGATGTAACATTTGTAGACTTTTGAGCACCTATATTTTATAATAAACACTGATTTTGTATATTTATCTAGCCTCACCCCACCTGCCTCCCTTCCTCTCTCCCTCCTTTTCTTTCTCTTATCTTCTTATGAGAGGTCCTTCCTGAGTAAGCATCCATTCATAAAGCCCGTTAGGAATACTTCTTCCAAGCATGAAATATCTAATTAGTTTCAAGGCTCTAGCATCATGATTTTAACTGCCAGTATGCCCCCTCTTCCTTCCTAACTGTTATTACTACTCCTGAATGGTTTTCATAATTAGGACAGACTTGGAGAGTGGAGCTGTGGAGATACACACTTAATGAATATGCTTCAAATAACAAAATAATGAAGCCATGCCTTGGGAACTGTTCTATATCATCAACCAACCTCATATTGATCTAGCAGAAATTAGTGAATTGTAATTCATTAGTTTTGATTCATAGGTCTATATTGCAACTTGGGGAACTCCATTCCAAATTACCAATATTAAAAATGAAAGAAACATCTCAACACAGGTGGCTTGGAAACAATTTAAAAAGAAGTCTAAAAGCCATCAAGAATATTAGAATTGCATATAGCATCAGCCCAAATGAATAGGGGCGTGCTAAAGCATTTCAATTGCAGGGCCATCTCCACATGGGAGTTATTACTGGCTGAGAAGATTCCACATGAGAATAAACTGGTACCTATTTTCTGTGTTGGGGAGGTGGGGTGCAGGATGCATAACAGGTAGCAATACTGGAGGACATTCACAAGGTTCCCCATTCACTTCTCATATAGACAAATTATTCTAAGAAGCTGATTCATATCTTTACTATCAGGAATTTAAAAAATAAGAACTCATAAAAGAGGCAACTATGGATCTGCTTCTAGCCTACATTTTGGGACCATATCTGGCTGGTTCAGGGTATAACGTACTAACATATCAAGAAATAAAATGCAACAAACAACAGTTTTGAATTGCAGTGGATAATTTAAAATTTTCCTCAAAATATTATTTCTCATAGAAAAAAAATAGAGAGGGGAGGCAAGAAGGAAAAACAGAAAGGCAACTTAATTTCCTGGTGCTTCAATAAGCCCATGGTGAAAGAAGTTAGTTTAACTTGTTAAAATAGATACGATTAGAGATCATTATAATGCTCTTCCTTGGTAGATCTTGGTAAAAAAAAATTCTATTCATTCAAAATTAAGTTTGGGTAAGATTGTTAGATGTTTTCATGGAAAAAGAACATGTACCTCTTTGAAAAAAACCTACATCTATAACTCATAATCCTACCCTACAGGTGAGATCTCATAAAGGATGTCATTCATCCTCCAGGGGTTTAGACACAACAGAATACCATACTGAGAAACGGTAATTGGCTTGCACCAGCTCTGCCCTGAATATATTCTATTACTTTGGGTTTTCTATATCTGCCATTGTTGGCTACACATTAAATACAGTAATGACCTTCATTCTACTCACTGTGGAATAGATTAGTGAAACCAATGGCAAGTATAAAGCTAAATAATCTTGGCAAAATCAGAACTAAAATTCCAATTTTTCAGAATTTAATATGCACCAAATTAAGAAGCTGTATTAATTTACTTCCTCCAAATACATAAGGCCCTTGGCCCTCCTAAGCATCCCCACACCCATCATCTTCTCTCTTTCAAATGTAAAGCACCATAGAAGATAATCTGGGGGCACGGTGCAGGCTGGGAAAGGAGATAGCAGTGAGTGACATGGGGAAGGACAGCATGGCCATGATTCAACCTTACACCCTTCTGAAAGTGACAGGGAGTCATTCTTCTCCACCTCAGCTTTAAAGACATTTAGAAAAAAGTTTTAAGTTTTCCACACCAGACTGAGAGTATCTGGCACTAAGGATAGCAATCTTGAATGCTGTTAAAAGTTGTGAAAGATGGAAGGTCATTTGGAAAACCAAATTTGTTTAAATTGCCGCATTAACATTGTTCTTAGTCTCTTTTCATGTTCTGGTTTTTATTTTAATTTATCTCAAACATTAGTAAAAACTGTTTTAGAAACATGTGCATGAGAATGAGTTCTTTGCTACTTTGATTGAAGAGCAAACAGCCTTCTAAATATAAGTATTCTTATATATATGGCTACTCTAAAAGCTGAACAAACCTTACCAAATTCATATACATTCTTATTAAATCCTTAGTGATATTCAGTTGGACATTTCATATAGCAACAAATATGTATGTACAGTTAAACAAAGAGTGAAATCAGTTCTTCAACAGAAAGTGATGGCTATCCTTAAGAATGGCCTTATGCCTAGTAAACATCACCATATCATTAAAAGGAGGAATACATGCATTGCTAATTAGACAATAAATGTAATGTCATTTCTTAATCACACTGAGAAATCTATAACTTGCACAAAGAGACCTTCAAATAAACACTTCTTGAATTACTTCTGTGGATCCTACGTGTCTATGGGACTGGATTTTTAGGAAAAAAAAAAGTCTTAGTCACATTTTATTGTACTTAAAATAAGTATATGTGTGTTTATTCCCATATATTTTTGATTAGGGATTGAGAGTGTTACACATTTGGCCTCTTCTGGTCATTTTCATTTGGACCATTGGCTCTAATATCAAGCATTTCAACTCCTGGAGACGTGTACAACATGCACGTGCACTGTGGAATTATAATATTCTGAAGAACAGACTGCTTTGAGGTCAAAGTATTGAAGCCCAACTGGTTCATAGTTCCAACCTTTACACTCTAGCTTCAGATTTCCCACTTTGGGTGAATCCACTTAGGATAAAAGGGAAAGACACGGAAAGCAAATTGAGTAGGCCCCAGTAGACATCAATCCCTCTTTAAGGTGAGACTCAAAATTTGTTGACAGTCTTAAAGGAATAAAATTATTTCAAGTGACAAACTGAAAAATAGAACTTTTGTACAGCATGGAACATAGGCTTACACTTCATTGGTCCAAACACGGGTCCTGTTTATTGGAAGATACATAAAACTCTTAAAGCCATCATCAGTACAGCAAGGAAGTTAAGACAATGGGCTCTAGAGACAAACCTGGTTTTGAGTTCTAACTTTATTAGCTGTGTGATCTCGGGCAAGTCACTTGGCCTCAGTTTCCCCATTTCTCAATTTGCCATAGGACTTAGTATGTGATAATAGGGAGTACAGCATATTTAAACTATTATTATGAATATGACTCTTTTCTAAGGCTCAGAAGCAAGCACATTAGTCTCATGGTGCGGTTCCCTGTCTTTCTTATCAGACCTTCATTCAAATATGACCCTGTTCTACTTGATCCCACAAAAGTCATTTCACAAAGATCAACTGACCATAGAAAATGCAACATCCCAAATATCCCTTAAATCTCTTATCTATCACATTATCTATGTCTGTATCTTCTAAAATATCCTCAGCTAAGCCCATTTCCAAAACAGAGTGGATTTCTAAAACCACTGAAAGTAAAAGAGCAATTCAGGCATTGACAAATGTGCTGTCTTGGTCCAGCCACAGGTAATGATGATATACTGCTGCTAAGTTGAGAAAGAGTGGCTTAAAGGTTCTGCCAATTTGCACCAGGCAGGCAGAAAGCACTTTCTTGCAGGTAGACTATTAATACCACCTGAAATGTTGTCAAGCACGTGGACATGCTGATAGGAATATCCTCACAACATTCACCTGTGCAAAATGAATGCCAAAGTTATTTTTGAATTTTGTCTTGAGCACCGAAATAAAAGAAAAAAACTTTATTGCTTTGTTGACACTAAAAAATCAGACTGTGGGTCTAATGAACAGTCAAAGAACAAATGCTGTGTATCAGAGCCAGAGGCAAAAGAAAAGCAATGTAGCGGTACTGCTGCCCTCAAGTAGTAGGGCCGTTTAGAGGTTCTTGCCATGTGTCTTTCACCAAATAACACTTTCTAAGTTTCAAAGAAAATATATCACACTAAAGGAAGGGAACTCCAGAAACTCTGTGGTTGGCTCTAGCCACATTTCTGGCATTGTCCCAGACCAACTCTCTTAGAGTCAGAGAGGGAGGTGTTGCACCCAAAGGGTATCTAGAACATTTAGCCGCTTGGAAGTGATAGATGGATCTCAGCAAAGAACGAATATCATGTATTTATGAAGTGTCTTTTGACCAAGGAGCTCAAAATGCAACGATAAAGGCACCATCTCATTCATCCTCACTATACACCTTTGGGGTAGAAGTCAAAAGAACTATTTATATGTTTTGAGGCTTGATCCTTTAATACACCAAGGTAAATAAATTAATGTCTTGGA